TATATATATATATATATATTATACATTTTTTATTTCCCGTTCTAAAATTATTTAATATCTAAATTAGCCTATATTATATTGTATTTAAATATTTAAGAATTGTAGTAAATAAGATATTAAAATATTCTAAATAAAAAAAATGCTATTTTAAAAAATAAAATGAAATTAGAAAATATTGTATCAGACAAAATATTTACTGTTTGTATTTTGTATAAAGAAAACATGTAAATGTTTATTTCAACAGCGGTTATTACTGAGAGTTAATTTTTTGTTTTAATAGCAGCTTGATCCTTTTTTGGCGATTCAGCAGCAAGTTGCACGCAATGAATAAGCCTCCCGATCCCTTGCTCAGCACTAACATGGTCTTTTAACTTAAGTCCTCCTAATGTTTAAGTTACTTGCCAAAATGAGCTTACATGCCTTTGATATTTACTTAGACAATTGATTTTCTCATTGACGGGATTATGCGGCTGCTGGCAGATGGCAGGGATTGGTTAATCCCAGAAGGCAGTGCTGCCGCCCCGTTTCCACCTGCCCTTCTCTGTCCCGCTGAATCTACATGACCAGACTGACCCCTACATGACCTTTACTTTTTTATGGATGTGTATGTGTGAGACAATGATAACCTGGAATGACCTGGAACCGTTTGAGGACTCAGAAATATATATATATATATATATATGTGTGTGTGTGTGTATTTATGTATCCATTTTTTATTTATTTATTTATTTTTATTTATTTATTTATTTATGTTTAGCTTTTTTTGTTTGGTTCTGTTTTATTTTGTTTGTTTAATGTTTGTCTTTTGTTCTTTTTTGTTTGTTTTTGTTTTTTGTTCTGTTTTGTTTAATGTTTTTTTTGTTCAAGTACTGTGTTTATATGGTAGAAGTGTCTCATATTAAGCATATCTTGCACATATTAAAGTGAAGATAAAATATCCTACAGAGTTTGTTATTTAGCTTTAAGTAATTAGTTTATTGTTTTTACTTCAGTTTTAGTAATTTTAGTTCTTCAACTTTAACTTTTTTATTTCAGTTAACTGCCTAGACAACATTTCATCAAATAATTTTTTCATAACATTTTAAATAATACTTTTTTAGTTAATGAAAAATTATCAACCAATATCAACACTGCCCGAGACATTCTTTTAGCTGATTTGTAAATTAATTAATTAATTATGATTGGGAATTTAAAGTTCTTTAAAAAATGTTTTAAGTAAACTTGTTCCCATTCATTACAAACAAATGAATAAATAAATTATAAATATATGATATTAATATTACATATTATATGTTCTTTGTGTGTGTGTGTGTGTGTGTGTTTGTGTGTGTGTTTGCGTGTGTGTTTGTGTGTGTGATATTAATATTACATATTATATGTTCTTTGTGTGTGTGTGTGTGTGTGTGTTTGTGTGTGTGTTTGCGTGTGTGTGTGTGTGTGTTTGTGTGTTTGTGTTTGTGTGTGTGTATGTTTGTGTGTGTGTGTGCGTTTGTGTGTGTGTGTGTTTGTGTGTTTGTGTGTGTGTGTTTGTGTTTGTGTGTGTGTTTGTGTGTTTGTTTTTGTGTTTGTGTGTGTGTGTGTGTGTGTGTGTGTTTGTGTTTGTGTGCGTTTGTGTGTGTGTGTGTTTGTGTGTTTGTGTTTGTGTGTGTGTTTGTTTTTGTGTTTGTGTGTGTGTGTGTTTGTGTTTGTGTTTGTGTATGTGTTTGTGTGTGTTTGTTTTTGTGTGTGTGTTTGTGTTTGTGTTTGTGTTTGTGTTTGTTTTTGTGTGTGTGTTTGTGTGTGTTTGTGTGTGTGTGTGTGGGTTTGTGTGTGTGTGTTTGTGTTTGTGTCTGTGTGTGTG